TGTGAGTACCTTGCCTAGCACAGTCAGTCTGAGGATTATTGGTTCATTTTGCACCACCAGACTTGTTTTGGGGCATGAGTTGAGAATTGTTCTCCTCTGTTGCGCTTACAGGTATTTGGAAAAGGGCATTCTTGCTCCTGTTGCTGGTAATGATTTTTTTTTTTGTGGTAAAATAGTCAACAGCTGCTACAGTGAGGTACTACAATTACCTTATTATTAAAGACCGATCTGTAAATTAGTCGGCCTAATATTAGGCAGAGCTTCCGCAGTTTGTTTTCATGAATACTATTAGCCACACTGATTAATTGTATCTTATTTTTAAAATCCTTTCACTGGATCCCCTGGAATACTTATTAATTGCCCCATCCTTTTCATTGTGAGGATGTAAGGTACACCATTGGTTCCTCTATCTCAGTACTGTTTTCAACAGCAGCTCTAAGCAGACACTTAGGGAAACGTAGGAATGGAGCACACATGTAAGGATCTTCAGAACTGCATGATGAATTTGTTGGGGTTCTATGTATCTGTGATTTTCATTATAATCCATTAAGGGATTTTGTATTTGATCAGCATAAAAAAAAAAAAAAAAATATGCAAACAAAATCCTGCTTCCATCCACTTAAATTGGGATCTGTGTACTAGGAGTGATGAGATCGTACATATCCAAGCATTGCTTTTGCAAGAGTTAAAAGAATTAGGGATGGGGTGACTGAGGCTTGTAGGGATGAAAGGCCACATGGTTTAAGTCAGCATGATTCAGTTCAGTGAAGCCCAGTGAATTTACAACAGATGAGGATTTGGTCCATTTTAATGCAGTTAAGGTCACACATTCAGCTGGTGATAGAGGTAATAAATGACCTCAGCCCTTGTCATTGTAGTTGCCATATATGCAGCAGAAGCAGGCAGCACATGAGGCTGAAAAGCAGCCAGGCTGCAAGATGTGCAGGAAGCTTTAGCATAAAAACTAAAAATTGCTGATGACACTGAAGTCGTGATTCTGGAAGGTAAGAGGAATAGGCACGGGAGAGCAGAGAACAAAGACTTGCAGTTCTGCTGGGACCATGTAGCACTGAGACAGTTATGAGGTGGTTGCTTGAAGTGAGCAAGAGGTATGCATTTGTAATACATCAAAAGCCGGATTTTAGAAGGAGCACATTAAAGCAGAACTTGAATTCATTGCTGACTGCACCACAAACCAACCGGATTCATGCTCTAGAGAAGCTTACGATGTCTTATGAGCCAGCAGAATATTTTAAGGTTTGTGTTTTTTTTTGTTTTTGTTTTGTTTTTTTTTTTTTGTTGCGTGGGGTTGCTGATAGAGATGCTTTGGATGCCTGCGGGAGTTGTAGCCAATATTGGTGTTTTGCTTCATGCTACTGACAAATTTTATGCAGTGAACATCATGGGTACAGAGTTAAGGCGTGTTATTCTCTATTTTCCTCATGAGAATACCAGCTGATCTGCGCAGTGCTGGTCTGTTCCACTTGAATTCCGAAGCAAATGACTGGCAAGGAGACTCTCCGTCTCCTATGGTCCTGGGCTGGCGCTGCTGTTCTCCTGCATGAAGGAATAAACAAGATCCTTTATTCTTTCTAGGTTGCTTTTCCTTTTCAGTTAAAATAAAATACAGCTGAAAGTCAAATTGCTGTCTAAATATGAACCCATCCCCAGTTACTAAATTAGTAATTACTATTTAGTTACTATTAAAAATTACTACTTAGTGTGAAGTCCAACCATAATTATTTTCCTGAAAGACTTAATTGAATGAGATTTTCTACTGTCTAAGCATCATAAAATGACCACCATGTGCATCATGAGTGAGGGTGAGGGGAGAGAAAAATGTGAGGGAAGAAGGATGCCATTTGATCCTTTTGACTGCTACCTAGTCACCAGGCTGCTATCTCTATCCATCAGAGGTCTCAACATCAGTCAATGTCTTTTTGTCCCGTTATGGTATAATTTCCATGTGCACCCAGGTACCTGTGTAAGTCACACTTCTCTTGTTAAAAGTGAGTAACTTATTGCTTACATTACCCAACATTTGGGAAGAGTAATCAGCAGAGTCGATGCTGTGACATTTCATGCACAAAGCAAGCGTATAGTCTTCGATGCTTCTGTTTCCAGGTTATTATTTATACTTGTAACTGTTTCTAATTAACCTGTAAGTATTGTCTATATCAGATGTTGGAAGAAATGCACCGTACACTTCTCCAGAATTCAGATAAGTGGTAGAAGTGAAAGAGATGGTTTCTTCTCTGTTAAAAAACCCAACAAAACATGCTAAAACATGAATGTGACTAACTGCTTCATTGTGGTATGGTCCTTGCCCTGTTTCTGACCTTTTTGTGTCTGATGGTTGAATACGTGAAAGTCAGTTGTTTATTTTCTTCATACAGTCATCTTTTTGGCAGTAGATGATCCCAGCTCTTACTGAAGAATAATTGCCTGGCGGGTGTGTGTAAAGGCTACTCGCAAGATTGTTTCACTTCTGTCCTGCTATTTTCTGTATTATGCTGAAGTGCTTTGAGGTAGTCTTTGATGTGATACAGAGGCACTGTAGGTGGGAGAGAACTGTGTCCCTGAGGTTTCTAGAAATCGTTTTTCCTGGTTCTCTTTTAGTAAACCCACAGTTTACCTAACACAAATGGGATGAATTTCCATACCTGTTGAAAATAAATGAAAGAATGAATTGTGTGTGACCTGTATCAGGCTAACGTTTGCCTTTTGCTAGTTTAAAGTCAAAAGAAAATATATAGATAACCTATTTCCAGTGTTCTTTGAATGCTTGTTGCACTTCTGATTTCATCCCAGCACTAGGGATAGCAGTTCACAGAATCATAGAATAGTTTACTTTAGAAAGGTCCTTCAAAGGTAATCTAGTTCAACTCCCATGCAAGGAGCAGGGACATCTTGAACTAGATCAGGTTACTCAGAACCACATCCAGCCTGATCTTGAATACTTCCAGCGATGGTGCATCCACCACCTCTCTGGGCAACCTGTACCAGTGTTTTGCTACCCTCACTGTAAAAAATTTCTTTCTCACATCCAGCCTCAATCTCCCTCTTTTACTTTCAAACCATTGCCCGTTGTCCTGTTGCAACAGGCCCTGCTGAAGCTTCTCTCCCCATCTTTCTTATGGGCCCCTTTTAAGAACTGAAAGGCCACAATAAGGTCTCTCTGGAGTCTTGTCTTCTCCAGGCTGAACAACCCCAACTATCTCAGCCTTTTCTCACACGACTGTCTTTGGCTGGTATGAGACCAGTCAAAATGAGAGATGGGGTTTGAGGTGTGTGTGGCATCAAATTTCTTTATTGCAAATTTGTCTGCCTGCTTCTTCTCTTGTTTCCTGAAAGCATGGGAGCATTTGTAAATAAAGATAGGCTGGGGCTGCCGGATGCAGGGAATTGGATTCATGTCTTGCCTTAGGATACCTCAGTGCTTGGATTGTGTTCTTTTTTTTCCAGATATAGAAAAGCTATTTCCAGATATACAACGGCTGCTTTGCCCAATCAGTTTTCAGTATAGAGAGAAAAAGTCTGCAGAGTTATACTTATGTTCATGTGTAGACACACATAGTTTTTTAAAGGCCTAGCTCTATATGTTGGGCAGTCTTCTTTTGTTTGTAAAAACTATAGAGAAAAAATAAACTCTGAGTAACTGCAGACATGGTAGTAGCTTATGAAATTTTGCACTGAGAAGACAGTTATGGCTGCTGTTCCACAAAATACATTCTTGAGCTGTGTACCATGCTGTGAGGTTTACATGCAGAAGGAAAGAAAAAAAGTGTTATTCACAAAAGCACATGGGGCTGTTATGTATTTCACTCATTTCATTTGCAAAACAAAATTGCTTCAGTGTCGGTAATCCCACCTTTTTAGCTTCTGCCTTCTACTGTACAGGCATTTGGCTTAGCTTGTATTTTCAGTAAAGGCCTATTAATCCAATCACATTATCATTGATAACATTTAAAGCCCTAAGAACTTATATGCAGGTGTTTCTTTGCTTTTGTTTGAGATGTAAAACAATATTTTAATGGCTTTTTTAGGCTTATGTTCTTCTTGTGTATAGGATTGCTCATAAAACCAGATCACAAATGTCCTAGAGAGACAAATAATATTGGAATAGAATTGAAACAGTATTGAAGGAAGTACTGCTTAAATGCTGAAGACAATATAGTGCTGGAATCTGACTGATGGAAATTTTATGATCTGTGTGGGAGTCACAGGCCATGATGTTACTGGTTGGGCTAAAGGACCAGGACTTACAAGGGCATCAGCTGCATTAGGACTTCTGTCAACTCACCAAAAATTAAAAATATTTATTTTCACCTGTTTTTTTTTGGTGGTTGTATTGTGGGGTAAATTTCACTTCTCTCTAAGTCTGGAGCCAGCTCACCTATAAAGGCTGCGTCTCTCACATGGTCCTTGCCGCCTGTCATGTGGTAGTGCTCATCTGAGGGATGGAGTATGTTTGCAGTTGAAGATTCACATGTTAATTCTGTGTGTTTTGCTTTGTTATATGGTTCTTGATTCAAATCATTAGAGAAAAGGTATCATCTTCTTTAAACTATGAGTGCAGCCTAAAAATCATGCAGCTGTGAAGGAGAGTTGTAAGGAGCAGGTGAGTATTGATGTTTTGCTCTGATATAAGGTTGGGGCCTTTCATCTCTCAGTTTAAACTTGGATAGCTAACTCAGTTTTGTTCTTTGTGTGGAAGATATTGTTTGATGTTTCTAGGAGGTGCATCTTTAAGGAGAGCATCTTCAGGAAAGCTGTGTTCAGAAACTGTTAAGAGATAGTAGCAGGCTGGTTATTTATAAAAGGAGTGTTTGTACAAGCCTATGCATTACAGTTCTCTGTTTAATGAATATATATTCGCTTTGGGTATGTACTCGTAATTATGATAATGGAAAAAGTCACAAATAATTTGGAGTCCTAGATTTTGCCTGAAAGGCAGTGAAAAATGTAACAGGCGCTGACTTGCTTTTTCACACTTGCAGTCAATGAAAGAGGAGATCCACGGCTCCATCTGCTGGCGTTCATACCCACCAGCAAGAGTTGCTGTTCACTGAATGCGCTGCGCTCCGGCACACCTGTGTGAGTAACTGCTTGGCAGAAACTGAAATGCTGTTTTTTTGTTTTTTTTTTTTTTTTTTTTAGCTGGTGGAGTAGATTTGTCTGGAGGCATTGGTGTAATGTTTTGACAATTTTAGCTGTTTTAATATTTGTGTTTTTTTTTCTTTTCTGCTGTTGTATTCACTGAAAGTTGTTTCTTTCTTTTGACAAGTTACAGTAATATATAAAATACAGAGCTGCTTGTATAATTCTTGCCCTGTAAATATATGTTTTTTATATTCATACAACTGCTGTAGGCAAGATAAAGGCCTAATATTGTGTAGTTGGATGGTTCTTCCAAAGATGATTGCTGTAGGGAAAAAATAAGCTCCAAGAGTAAAAAAACTTGGCCTTTTTGTTTTCTCTGGAGATTAAGTACATGACTTTAAGTTATTTTTGAGAATAATTTGCATTTTTCAACATCTTGGTGCAGGCCAGTGTGAAAGGAAACTATTGTTATTTGATTAATTTTAAAAGTTGCTTATAAGAGGAAAAATGTCTTGTTCACATTTTGCCTGTTTTTCATTTGCATTGGTTTCAGCACAGGAGCTCAGGAAACTGTCTGAAGTAGGAAAGATGCTGAAACAGTCCACCATTACTTTGGCTGCAATTAAATGTTTTCAAAACAGTTTACTTATTTTCCTTTAATATATCAAACTTTGTCTTGTTGTGCATCAAAAATCCATTACAATAAAACCAAAATTTGAATGTCTGTCTGTTGAAGCACGGAGTAAACCCTTCAGTTTCAGCAGTAACTGGATTTTAGAATTAAAAAGTATTGTAAAGTAATGGTTTGTGTATTTGACCAAGAATCAGACCTCTGTACAGCATACGGTGTAGGCTATTTTTTGGCTGTTCACATTATGTGATAATGATGTAAAATACATTTTGTCCTAAACAAGGGGCCTGATCTAACTGAAATTTTCATAGACTGCCACTTTTCCTTCATCCTTCTTTTTTATTTGACTACTTGTTACTATTCTAAAAACTACAATAATTTAAGACACACAGAACTTTGTATTAGGTCCTAGATTGATTGTGTAGAATTAGAATTGTTGTCCAGTTTAAGTGTGAAAGAGTTGTCTGAAATAGCATAATAGGATTGCAAAAGTGTCTTTCTCTGCTGTTTTCTTTTTCCTCTGTTGCAGCTTTTAAGAGGGATGCCAGCAGGGGTGAGGGTGTTAGCAGAAAATTAGTGGGTTTGTAAAGCATATGCAGCTGGAGTGAATTTCGCTTTGTGAGGGTTACTTCTATATAGTGGAAAGCACAGCTAATTATATTAAATGTGGATGCTGAAAGGAAACACCTCCTATTTTGCCCATTACAGTATATATATGGCAGTTTATAACACCTCTGCAATAAGCAAAAAAATCAGTGAAAGATTTTACTTCTTTAATATCTGAGGGTATTAATTAATATTAATAATGTTAAAATAGTTTGAAATACATACATTTTTTTTCCTGTGTTGCAGGTAGAATTGTTATTTCAACTCAGTGATAAGCATTGGCAGTTATACACTTCAAAATGTATATGCGTGTGTGTATATGTGTAATAATATATACAAATAATCAAAATATTAATACAGCATTCAAAGTATTTGAACTGTATATGCACATAAGCATTCATATATGCATTTATGTGTGTATTTGTACATGTATGTGTAGATTTTAAGAAATATCCTCTGATAGTTATTGCAGACCTAGAATGAAAGGTGTATTATGATTACTTCATATTTTATGGGTGAGGATTTCTGCTGCTTAGTCAGTAAGAGAAATGTCGATAGTTTGTGCTCTTCCTTCAAGATGCAAAGGAAGAATAACTGAATAAAAACCATTTTGTTATCTGCAATTAGAGATAATGTATTAAAAATTATGACCACCTGGGAAGCTAAGACCATGTATATTCTTAGAAATATTGTTAGGAATAATCTCTATTATTATTTAGACACAGCCTCTGTATTTCCAGTGAAAGTTAATATGTGATTTTTGTCCAGTTTTCTGCTTCCTTCTGCTCTCAACTCTGTGAATTTCACGATTATAAACCAGGATGGCTTGTTCTCCAGTGAACTGAAGAAGTGTGGGCAGGAGAGTGAATGATGGGAGGAAATGCTTTGCCTGAGCATAAGGTGGCTATAGTAATTTGATTTATTTAAAAAATATTTTGCTCATCTGCTACAGTTGTAAAACTGCTTTTGAAAGTTTTTTCAGCAGTTATGATGTCTGCTTAAAATACAAGGAAGAGCCCCCAGAATCTCTAGGCTTGGGCTGTGTGCACGTGCATATATATACATGTCAGCATGCCTACAAGTAGACATTCACAACAGCAAAAAAACCCACAACACAATAGGTCTGGAGGTGGTTAAAGAGCTGAGAGGTTTGTACAGGGAGGGTGGAGAGGATTGCATGCATCTTTCTGAAGTCCATTTTGTAGACAGAGGAGCAAGCTGGTATAACATAAGCCCCTGTCTAGGTTCACAGGGTCTCAGCTTCTCTGTCCTGTTGCCTGTGCTTTTGCTCTTAAGAGTGGTGTAAATGCAAACTACCTTATGTGTCAGTGAAATGGAACAACTGGTTGTGCATCAGTGTGGTGGATATAAAATTATTCTGATAACCTGTGTGTGTCTGTACCATCAGTTTGGTCCCAATCATACTGAATTCAAATCTGGGTTTCAGTTGCAGAACCTGGGCATTGTCTAGGTTGGGGTTTAGCATGTCACCAGAGATCACAAATGACTTGTATTAGTGACTGTTCCCAAACTATTTCTTTCATCTTAAACGACAGAATTGCTTATTGATCCCCAGTGCTTGTGAATATTGTGGCTTTTTGGCAATGCATGTTCAGGCTGGAGCTCTACTAGCTTTTTTAAAAAACAACGTGTTAACAATGCAGAAAGTACAGTCCAGTGTTTAGTCAGAAACAGTCTCTGAACTTACGTGTTACCCTTTCGTTCACAGTAATGTAACATATGTACTTTTATTAATCCTTAAATATTCTTTTCCCAGTTTTAATGTGTGTGTGTGTATATATACTGCGTAAGTACATATATTGTTCGTAGATATTTGTTGTAGTGATCATTAGATGAATGAATTTGTTTTTGAACTTGACATACAAACATTTTTTAGATAAATGACCTGATTTTTATTCCTATGTGCTGAACATCTGCAGCTCACGAAATTGCACTCGGGCATTATAGCTACAGCCTTTCTCATTTGTGCGACTGTGTATCGTGTTTTTATTGCTCCCTCTGTGGTCCTGTCTCTCACAGTGATGGTTTATATAATGAGAACAAAAAGGAGACAGAACTGATATATCTGCTGTGCTGATAAAAATAAGTCTTTGTTGCTTAAATATTTATTAAAAAAAAATCTAAGGGTGTATGAAACACTTTTCACTGATTTCAAACCAACTGCAAAAATAGTTAATTGTGAGCAAGTATGTTACAAGAGGATTTCAGAGGAGTGTTCAAGTGAAACATTCAAGTTCATATCTAGAAACATGTCACCATATTTTGACAGTAAATTCCTAGCACTTATAGTTCCTTATGAAGAATTTTTCGTGATTCATATTTTAGCTTGATTGCAATGCCAGCACTTTTTTTTACTGTAAGGTGATACATACAGCCTTTAGCAGGAGCACATAAAGGAATTAAAAATTCAACTGAAAGTTCATTGAAGAATATTTCAATCTTTTCTTGCAAATATCTGAGTGTTCAGGAGTACAAAATAATGTGTTGTTCTACTCAGATCATGAAAAATCAAGTCTCTTAATAGAGCTTACAGTTTATAAGATGACATGTCCTAAGAACTTGCATAAAAGGACATTTGTATCTATTTTAGCGTGTAGATTTTATACTCTTAACCATGGTGATCTGCATTGTATAATATATATAATATATATATAATGATATAATACCATATATATGTAATATGATATAATACCATATATATGTAATATAGAACTTTTTCATCCACATCTTTGCTCAGCTGCTGGGTTTTCAGTGCTGTCTACTGAATATCACTTTGAAACTCTGTAAGTCTTCAGTAACGCATATGTAACAACTTGAAGCTATGCATAAAATTGATGTTGCATTTAGGTTGACGTAAAGCCTGTTCAAGTGGACTTTGAGGCTGAATAATTTTTTTTCCCTTTTTCCCCCAGATTAATTTATTGGCTGTGAAGAGCCACGGACACTTTGTGCCCTGATGGGGGACTCAGGATCCAGACGATCAACTCTAGTATCTCGATTGCCAATATTCAGGAGAAGTGTTAGCCGGAGACACGACTCTCTTCCCTCCTCACCTTCTTCTGCTAATGCCATTGGTGCCCACACATCCTCCCCATCCAGCACTAACTCCAGCTCAGGGAGCACAGGCAAGCGCCGGAGTATCTTCCGCACTCCTTCCATTAGCTTCCATAACAAGAAAGGGAGTGAGCAGAAGCCTGACTCTGCTAGTCAAAATGCTAATGTCACAAATGGTGCCCAGTCCTCTCTCAGCACTTTTCAAAAACTGAGCTTAGAGGAACACATTAAAAGCAGAGGAAGGCATTCAGTTGGCTTTGGCAGCTCACGTAGCAAGAAGATAACAAGGTCTTTGACAGATGATTTTGACAAGGGAAAGGAGCCTTCAGCTAATAAGAATGTCTTTATAAATTGCATAAGCTCTGGGAAGAATGAGGGTGATGATTCAGGCTTTGCAGAGGAGCAGAGCCGATACTCTGTCAAACATTCCACACGGAAACTTCTCCCTAAATCTTTTTCATCGCACTACAAATTTTCTAAACCAGTACCAGAGAGTCAGTCAGTTTCCTCCGTGCAGCAGTCCAGGTGTTTGCTGGAGATTAAATCGTATGTGGAAAGTGAACCTGTAATCACCAAGTCCTCTCCTCCATGTTCAGCTGAGACGACAGAGTGCATGGGAAGTTCCTTACAGTCCCCACTGCTCTCAGCTGACCTTACAGCTGCCCAGACGCCCTCTGACTTTGTTGCTCTGACAGAGGATTCTGTTTCGGAGGCTGATGCTCTGGGCAGCAATGGGACTGGGGTGCTGCTTACAGAAGATTTTGGCCACAATGTCTCTACCTCTCAGATCCTCAATCCTGTTGCTGCTCCTGCGAGGGAAATGGATTTTATAGAAAGTACTGGCCATTCTACTGGTGTATCTCATGTGAATCATGCAAGCTTATGTAGTGTTGATTCTAGTACCTTATTCAAAGCCTCAGCTGCTAGTCAAACAAAAGTATCATTGCAAGCCAATGAACTACATATCAGCGATGACAGGCACATAGGAGAAATTAACTCTGCAAACGCACATTTAGAAAACTTTGAGTTACAGCATAGAGAAGAACCAGTGATACCCTCTTCAAAGGCACAGGGGTTGAGTGGGGACAGAGATGAAAGTACGCCATCCAAGCACACAGAGGAGACAATTCCTGTAGTGGAGTCTCGGATTGTTCCATGTTCTGAACCTCAGTCCTTTAAACCACAACAGGGTTATGAAACAAACTGTTCTAAAGGTATGTCATGTGATCTTTTTGTTATTGGGTTTGGGGGGTGTGTGTGTGGTTTTTGTTCTCAGTTCTTCTGTAAATATTGTTTGATCATAAAAGTGTTTTGCAGATTTGGAAGTGCTGGTTAGAAAGTTCAAAAGTTATGAATTGTGTCCTCCTCCCTAAATTGTAGGAATTAAAGTCTGTGATTTTTGAGTTCACGTTTTACAGTTTGCAAACACCTGTCAGTGCTGTTTGTAGCTATGCTTTCCAGTGGTAGAAAATTAATTAAGAAAGAATATTGATCCTTGCCTCTTGGTGAAGGCTGAAGATGGTATATTTTTGAGCTATGCCTGTTTTGGACTTGAGCCAAAGGGTTGCATTGTCACAGAAAAACCTTCTTTTATTCCAGTTATGAAAAATAATACAGTTTATCTTATATTGATCTGGGTTTTGAAATTTCCCAATTCTTGCTTGCCCTATTCAGCTAATGATACGGAGTAGCTTGGACTGGATGTTTCTGTGGCAGAGTGAAAGATCCTATTTCTGCTTCCATCTGAAATAACATTGTGCAAGTTCTCATTACGAAATCAATGAAACGGAGTTAATTACTGGCTAAATTTCACACTGGATCTTTAGTTTATGAAAAAGCATTTAGAAATATTAACAAGATTAAGTGGAAAGGCTGTGCCTAGAAATCCCATTCTAGCTAGGTGCAGATGAATAAAGGCACCAGGCCCTTGAGTGAAGGACACGTGTCAGAAGACATTTATCTCTGACAGTTTATTTTCTCAAACTAGACCAAAGACTGGTGCTTTCTTGCGTAACCCTGAGGTTGTATCTGGCAGGCCAAAATTTGTGAGACTTAACACGTCTGCATTTATAGTGTTTGTATTAGAAGATGATTGAGTGTAAACTTATATAAATTCATACCCATCTTTTTTGCTTGGACATTTATAGAGGCATGTAGATAATAATCAAAAAGCAATCTTGCTTTTTGAATCATTTGTCACTTCAAGGCTTGGTTGGATATCTTGTACGAAAACAGTGATATAAAGTAAAATTAATCCACTAAATTAGGTTTCACTAGAAAGGACCTCTCTCCCTCAGACCTTAGTCAATTGGGAGAAAAAACATTTCCATTTATGTATGTTACTGGTGCTGAGCACTCGGTCTTTCTTGCAACATTGGCTCATCTGTAAATGAGCTCATCCTTTTGCATCTGTTATTAGAGAGTACTGCAGAGCAGCAAGTGAGCAGCTCAGAGCGATGTTTGGAAATACACAGTGCATTTGAAACTCATGCATCAGCAGTTGTATATTTAATCTGCATTTCTGAAAAGCAGCTAACTGGAGCTGAAACTGTGACAGCGGGATTTTTGTAAATGGGATTAATGTTCACAGAAACACTAGCGCCAACACTGCACTGTATAAAAATCATGATTGTTAGGGTTCTATAGTGCTGTTCAAAATGTAATTTGGTTTTTTACTTGTGTGGTGAAGAATATATTTAAAATTAGATATTGGCCAAGCAGAGGAACCATTGGAAAAAGATACACAGTCCTGCCATATGAAATGATACTAATATAGTAAAAACTTATATGGCATTCAGTAAGATATGGTTATAAATAGCTATATCTGTTACAAACAAACTGGTTTGAACATTTAGTCTTGCTAAAATAGTATTTAAAACCAGATGTGAATGCAAAATATTTCCATGCGTTTTCTTTGGTAATAGATATTTTCTCTTCCATAGCTGGTCTCACAGCTGATATTATAGATAGCATCATGAACATGATATTAATGTATAAGCAGGTTTGATATATTTCTTACTATAGAAATAATTTATGTAATACTTTTTTGTATTTTTGTGACACACATTTTTTTGAGAAGCCTTACAGAAAATATCAGTTCTCTTGCAAAAGACAAAAGAAGATAAGATATTCTGTGTGGCATTTATTATGTTATTAGGCTTTTCTCTTTCCCCATCTCTAAATTTACCCTAACACCTCGGAATGTAATTTTTCTCCTCTTTTCTAATGTATTTAACTGGAGTTGGGCACTGAGATTCAGCCTGCGCCTGCAGACTGAATTTGGGGGATGAGAATGCAGAGCTGAGCTAGGAAAGCTAAACAGAACCTGAAACCAGTGTGTGTCCTTGTCCTGTGCAGTGATAACTAAGTTGTGGCTTGGCCCTACAAAACATGAACTTGCCTTGGGACTCAGGGTAAGGCAGGTTGGGTTTTGGCACAAATGGGCCGGTGATAGTTTCTCTGGTAGATTTTACTGGACAATGGTTTGGAAGTGTCCTAGAACAGGGGGAGAAAGGAAAGGATGAAGCAAAAGTTCTTTTGGATTCTGTAAGGAGTCATGGACTGGGCTGCAGTGTGCTGAGTGTGCTAGTCATTGAGTGCTCAACAGCAAATTGAGGACACAGGTGACACTTATCTAGATGAGGGGAGTCTGATTTCTATAGAACATCTCTTATGAGATTGCCTTTCAGTGTAAACATTTCAAGAAAAGCAGCGTTCTCATTAAGAAAAGAGCTGTAGAGAGTAACTCTCTAATGATTGCTGGTTGCTTCTCTATTTGTAGTTGATCTTGCCAATAGCTTCAGTCCGTACCGAGAAGGCAGATTTGTTGAGAAGCGACTGAGATCCTCTTCAGAAGGTACTGCTGGAGGCAGTCGGCTGATCATAAAACCAAAGGCTGGAAATACAGAAGAGCTTAACAGCCTACGGAAGCAGAGAGCAAGCTCATCCTCTTCAAAAATGAACAGCATGGTGAGTTTTATTTTCATATTCTCTCAAAAATGAACAGCATGGTGATTTTTCTATGGTTGGAGTAACTTTGATGAGAAGCAGCAACTTTACAAACAATGGATGCTAATAAGGGTGTGTGTGCGGGGACACAACACACACTGTCTCAGGCTTCCAAAATGTGATCCGGGCTCAGATATTGAAAATATTTTTTTTTTAGGGTGTGACATTGTGAAAAGGTTTTCATGCTTTGTGAAGAGATTCTTGTCATGCTTTGGTGATTTGCCTGGGCAAAAAGTAGTGGAAGAGGAAACTGCAGCAAAATTCAGTATGACTATTTCTGAGGTGAAATACAGTGGGCTACTTTGTGGCAGCATTGTGTGACCGTGTTAGTTATTTCATTGACTCTGGTCTGGTATGAGTGAGATGAGAAGCTGAATAGAAAGGAAGTTGTCTGTAAGGAGGCTCACTTGAAAGGTCAGAGCGGTCCCTTTTGAATGGTGACAAGTTTGAATACTTTCACTCTGGACAGAAAGTAAGGAGGAGAGGAAAGGATCTTTACTGAGAACCCTTGAGGGTCCCAAGGACTGGAAAAGTAAGAGAAGTTACGTAACTGCAGAAGATTACTTTTGAGTAATTTCGCTCTTCTAGTGAAATACTAACAGAAGGAACTGACTGATTAACAAGTTTGTGCTTTCCTATAGCCGGTGAGAATAAACATTTTAAGACCAATGTCATTTATACTTATGCATGCGCTCTCTAATGAGAGAGATAAGATTCTAAGATTGAACATCTACAGCAATGGCATCCACTCTTTAGCTTATGGGAATCACTAAAACAAGTTTTATGGCCAGTATTAGTTTGAAATATTCAACATGCTGGCTGAAAAAGAGGATTAATTTTGTATTCTTAATCTGAAAACTTTCCACAGAAAGCAAAAAGCTCTAAGCTCTTACCCTTGCCTAGAGTTTCTAAACAGATGTATAAATAAAGGGGCTTTTTCTTTTCTGGTGTACTTGATAGCCATTGTTACAATGATGCGTGACCAAACACATCCCTGAGAAACTCTGATGTGAACACAAATGCCATTTCTAGGAAAGAATTTTTGCAGTTTTTCAGAGATGTGACACTGATTGGTATAAACGGGTGTTAGGTTTCCTGTTATGTGCTCTTCTAGTGTAGTTTTACAAGCTAATGCTAAAACTCAACAACTCATACCATGACTTCGACAACTTTTATGACTGCATGTTGTTTTGCCTGTCACTAAATGTAATCTTTCTTACCCAAGAAGCTAAGGAAGGCTAAATTGTCTTCCTCTGTGAGATTTGCCCATACTAGTTTCTGGTTGGTCATTTAAAAATTGTTCTCCAGAGAAAGATGCGATTTAGCGTGAAATCCCCTTACAGAAACTGTGTCAGGAAATTGGAGTTTAAGGGTTTCTCAAGAGGATGTGAAATTTATCTTTGATCTGGGCAGATCTTGCCCCTGTGTCTGAATGTATTACCTTAATGTTCCTTTTTTGGCTGAGCTCACAAATGCTGCTGTGGATGGCAGCAGAAAACTACATTAGTCCCAAGGAAAATCTTACTATGTACGGCCAATGCACAACAGATTTTCCAGTGTAACAGTGTCCTGCAGCAGTGGTCACTAAAAACACTCAATAGAATGGAGTTATTTGATGGCTTTTACAGAAATGCTTGCCTGTACACTCACTTTTTGTAACCTGGGCAGATTGGATTGCCTACAGTTCAGTAACAGGAGTATGCTCTTCTTAGCAGTATCAGGTTGTGCAGACTTATCAGTATTTACTGATTAATGTTATACTACCTGAAAGGGTAGGAGGCAAATTAATTTTAGGAAGGATAAGATTTTTCACATCCGCCTTTCTTGTTTCTACATTGTTGACAATTTGTCAGATGAAGTAGTACAGTACTTCAAAATTTATTTTAACAAAACCCTTGATTTTTAAAAAAACTCTTCTTTCTATACACTGGATTATTATACCCAGAGATACAGCATAGAAATCAAGGGGCAGAATTCTTCTAAATAGTAGAAAAACCCCTTTGTTCTATTAAGGTATATATTTATAGCATATTTCTCTGTTTTTTTTTCAGGAAGCTAACATCCAAATATCAATGAATAACATCTTATTTTTCAGAGCCAGAAAGAATATGATGACATTTAAAGATGCTGTTTCATGTAGGCATACAGACTGTTATGCAGATGTAGTTTCTGTCCTAAAAAGCTGGTTTACCCTGGCTCAAGCCTATAAAACTTATCTGGGTTGTTAGACCCAAGCTATTATGCAGATCTCTGCATTCATTTAAACACTAGGCTAGACCGATGGCATAGCACTTCATTCTGTTTAGCCCTCTGTTAGTGGTGGGACTAGGAAGGTGACAGCACAGTAACAAAAAGAAGTAAGCAAAATGTGCATGGGGGGTGGGTGATATTTGAGTCTCTGATTCTTCATGTTTTGTGTATGAAATCCATGTGTTTTGTTTTTTTTTATTCCCCCCACCCCTTCCATTAGCAAGCTTATCCACAAATTGATAAGTTTCTGTTGCAAAATGTTTGTACTGACTGTGTGTTTTTGTAAGGAAATGCTATGTGAAAAGTGTTTCTTTAGTAGGAAGTGAGATACAAGAAGTAATAAACAAAACAAAACCCACACTATCCACCCTCCAACAACCAAAAGTTAAAAGAATAAGATGAGTTCCCTGGAAGGAAAAGGAATTAAAATTGAAGAATTGGAATGTTTTTAGCAATACATATCTAAACAGGAAAAAGGCCCTTTCAAGAAACTTGACACAATCAATTAATCTTTAACACCACAGTAGCAGATTATTGCAAGTGAATGATCATAATGAAGAATAAAGACTCGATAAAGAATTGGAGTTACAAAAACCCCTATGGTTAAAAATCCTAACCTAACTATATTGTATGTCTAGAAAAACATTAGCCTCTGTGGCTATCTGTATTCATTTTCTTCAATTTTGGAAGAAAATGAGCCAAAGGCATTTAAGGGAGGGCAAGTTCACAAGGGATTGCTGAGGCCTCCCTGCCGAGGGACAGCGTTGCTGTTCAGTTCTGCTCTGCAGCATTGAGTGAGTGGCAGCAGCTGTGGATGCTGGTTTTCTGGCATCATCCAGATGTCGTGCAAAGCTGAAGAAGCTTTATAACATGGAAACTTTCCTCACAAACTGAAGAAAGTCCTCCAAGACCCTGTTTGCTTTCTTTTTCTTGCTGTCAGGCAGTGTGGGTTCTTTCTTCTGAGGGGCTAGTGGGAGTGAGGAGCCAGAAGAATTGAAGGGATGATAGATTTTCACAGGAGATGAGAAGCAGGAAAGGAGAACTGAGAAACTTCTCTTCCTTCTAAACAACTTGCCCATCAGAGTGTTCTTGGCATGACTGGCAGTGCATTTTTTGAATGTGATAGGTAAAAGCTTAGATAGATGGATCTTCTTAACACTGAGAGTATGTATCAAACCTTCAAAGACAGTCACCTCCTCCTGCAAGAGTGATATTAACTCACTTGTGAGAAGCTGAAAATAATTTATAATCTGGACAAGAGCAGTGGTACTTGTAAATGAGACTTAAGGAAAGAAAAAAGTCTTACAAAATAACTGAAATTGTGCCAATTTTTTAGTTAAGCAAATAATGAACTGAAAGAGATGGTTGAGATTAACCACTTCAATTATTAACTCTCTGTGTTTTTCCTTAGAATAGTTTCAAATCCATCATTCTTGCAGTGACTGATTTCTGCCACAAGATGACACCATTTCACTAAAAATGGTTTTAGACTTTACTTTTACAATTAGACAAAAGGTGAAAACTGCAATTCAGGACACGTTTCTGGAACAGTTTAATGTTGATTAGCCTGTGCAGTGTAATAGACCCTTTTCCAATGAACATGGTTGATACTGATGCAATTTAAAGAGGTTCATAGAATATATATATTCTGTATACATAGAAACTCTGGTCATTCAAATGTTCCAACTATGAAATCATCAGTTACAACTTCAAAAATTTAGACATAATATATGGACTAGTTATCTAGCCTCGTAAGATTGATAGAGGCTGTGATCTTGAGACCTGTTCTCCATCTAGGTGGTGGTTCTTTTCCAAGATGTAAGAAAAGCAAAAAGGAAGAAATTAAAAATGTAAAGCAGCATGGTAAAATACCTGAATGGCCAGAAATATGCAGCCCTGCAAGACCAATGAAAAGAAAATAGATCTGGGAAGTTGAAATGCAAAAAAGAATTATAATAACTGTATAGAAAAAAAAACAAAACGAATCAGACTCCCAGATCACTGTAAGTAATTTCTTTAAAGGATTAGGAGACAGGACAGAGGAAAAAGAGTTAATATGCTACAGTACTTAGAATAGCAGAAACTGAAGTGAGAGCAACAAAATTATCCATCACTTCTCACAGCAGAGGCTAATATGAACAGATGACAATCCTAAATATGACCTTTACCAGCACTAAAGAGGAAATATAAAAGAAACAATAATAATTGCCTTTTTTTTTTCTTGAGGATAGAAATTTTGAAATGCTAGCAAATTAGCATTAAAACCAGATAGTCATAAAGGATGATATGAGTGAAAGTAGATGTATGTTACTACAAGTTTACAAAACAGCTTCAGAAGATTGTTGGAGCTCCTAGACCATACTGCCCAATTTCAACACATGAGCTGCACTGTGTTGTGGAGAAATATGGTGGCGTATATGGAGTAGAATGAGACTGCCTGCTTACATTTGGCTTTCAAAGACCTGCCTTTCTGCCTCAAATTATTTAGAAAAAAACAAACAAACAAACCCCAAAACTGTCTGACTTTTTGACAGCTCGCTTACCCACGTCTGGCTATCAGCAAATGTGCTACATTACTAAAAGGAACCTAATTTTTCAGCTTTTTCCTGTCTGGGTGAACACTATCACTGGCCTTTCTGTTCTGCAGGAACTGCATTTCCCTGGGTACTCTCTCAAGCACAGGTTTTTCTTCAGTTTCTCATACTTGAATC